CCCCAAAACCCCAAAACCCCATAAGAGCGATTATTTCAAAATTTGGAACTTAGACAAAACCTGTAAAAGCTAAGATGTCTGATTTATAAATATTTAATGTTTAAATTAATTATAAATTTTTAATATCTATAGAAATAAAGCTCTACTGCTGATATCTGATCGAAAATGAGAAAATCATTATAAGACAACCTTGATTATACAACGTTGAAAATTATTGGAAAAGGAGGATTTTGCAGAGTTTACGAGGGTAGACATTAATTATATGACAATCCAATAGCCATCAAAGCTGTAAAATTCTATTAGCTTATAAATTAAATAACAGAGCAAACATAAGGATCTAATACAGAAGGAAAAAGAAATATTGGAAGAACTCCAGAAAGACAATAAACCAGGTAATTTTGGATAGGTTAATCTTATCTTGTTAGGATTCCCCTCTGTCATCGACAGCGGTTAAGTGCTCAATCTAGAATGCATTGTATTGCCGTTATATGGCAATAGTCTCATGGACTTGATGTGCCAAAGATGGGACAGAAAGTTTAGTATTAAAACAGTATGTCTAGTTGGAATTCAGACAGTAAATTAATAAATTTCTCAAATTCACTCAATTTTAGACTAGAATTTTGAAAAACCTTCACGAATGCGGTTATATTCATCGTGATATCAAGCTGGACAACATTCTCTTAGATTAAAAAGAAACCAATAAATCTAGAAATCTGATATTAATAGATTTTGGACTCTCCACGAAGTATACTGATGTCAATGGAGAACATCTGGCCAAAACAGGCGAAGAAGTTTTCGTAGGGAATTAAATTTTCGCAAGTCGTAGGGCCATGTTGACGAAAAGTAAAACTCAATAATAATTTACAATTATAATATATCTTTTAGGCTAGAGTAGACGAGATGACTTGGAATCAATGTTCTATATGTTGATGTTTCTGTTGTATGGAGAACTCCCTTGGAAACTAAGGCATTCATCTGCTTTGGATTTCAATAGTATTTATGAGATTAAATCTAAATATACATATAAGGAACTTTGGCCAAATCTACCTAGTAAGAATAAAATAATTTTAATCATCTTCTTCTTGTAGAGTGTTTAAAGAAAGTAGCTTATTTAATATGGAAATTAAAATATAAAGAAAAGCCCGATTACGAAGCTTATGAGAGATACTTCAGCAAACAAATAAAAATTATAAGTGGGAAGGTTGATTTTATTTATGATTGGAATGAAGACATCATGAGAGCTCAATCTCAAATCGCATTATAAGAGGCTGGAGAACATTCTAACAAAATTTAGTTTATGCCTGAGATAAGGTAGAGAGCTCTCTCAATAGACATACCTGGTACAATCAAAGACATTGCCGATGGTTTAAATATTAAATAAAGTTATGTGCCTCCTATAGAAGAAGAAGAGAATGAAGAAGAATCGATACTTTCTCGAGGATTAGATAAATCAGATGTGGGTATTGAGGGTTTGGAAGATTGCAAACCTACAGAGAGAAGAGACTTTCATAAAACTTCGACAAAACCTTCTCTAAGAATGATTAATTAATATAAAAACTAGCCTAATGAGTAGAGCTCTCCGGTTCAAAATTATGATATTCTAGACATTTTCAGCTTTAATTCACGTGACGCAGGGCTTGAAGAGTTCAAAGAAAGTGAAAGCTATCAACCTAATTTCAACAGATACTCCATGTCCCCAAAAGACAATAGCACTCTACTTTAAAGTTCCCCTTGCATAAACAGACCTTTCTCTTGGGACTGCTAAGAATCACTCATTAGTAAATTCATAGAACCCAATATATGACTAAATTATAGTAATATCAAAGTATTTATTAAGCTCTTAATACAGTTGCAATTACACTAGCTTCACTGTATTGGGAAGCCTTGTAAATAAGAAACTTTAATTTATATAAGATAATCACAGTCTACTTCCTTATCTAAAATTCTAGCCTCAAACAACTGATCATTAATTAAATACCTCTCTTATAAATTAAATCGCTAGTATCAAGCATTAAGTAATATAATTTAACTATTGATCTCTTATTACTTTTTAAATTAAAATTTCTTCTCTATGGGGTTTTGGGGTTTTGGGGTTTTGGGGTTTTGGGGTTTTGGGG